TTAATTCTTTGAGTCTTTATTTTTATTTCGACACTATCGACTCGTGCCTTAAGAAGACATTTCTTCTTCTGCAGTTTCTTTTGCACGTCCTTTCCATTTCGGCTACCTTACTCCATTTTTAAATATGCTTTTACCTTGCTACCAAAAGCGTTACTCTATTCTTTACTATTTTTTTTTTAGTTTTATTTTACCTTATTCCAACTACTTTTCTTTTCTTCTTAGCACGTTAACTCGTTTACACGGCACTCGCAATTACAATGCTTTCGGTACTTTGCGTCTATTTCGTTCCGTTTTATATTGGCTCGTTCTCTCCCTTCCTGCAAAGTGTCTCTCACTGTTGGTACTTACTCCTTCGCGTATTCTTACGTTCGACATTTGGGCCCAGTTGTTGCAACAGCGGACCTCATGAAATCGAGTTCTGAAATCTCTTCACAAATATCATTCGGAGAATCAATTCTTCACCTTCTTCTTGTGGCATGTCTTGAGAGTTTTAACCTCGCTCTCCGGGTTAGGCCACAGCCGATGTTCCCCAACTAGGTGGTGAACACATGGCCGTTGCAGTTCATCGGACGAACCCTGCCTCCCTGGCCGGAGACCTGCGTCGTGGTGGTCCTTCGCCCAGTGGGGCCGTGTTAACACCACCTCACTCACGCCATCACGTGAGAGTTTTGCGAGCTGGTTGAGCACCAGTGATGCACGTCTCCACTAAAGTCAAAAGTACCACCTCTATGCAGACCACAAAAGTATCCAGACGACGCTATGCCTAAAAGAACCAATTAAGAAAGACATATTATCAATACCTTTTTCAAACCGAAAAAATATTTCCAAAACTAGTGCTGAGTTTTCCGAAGCAGGTATACTTGACCTCATTGGTAGGTGGAACATTGAAAATGATGGTTACTATGTTGAGAAGTAGGGATGTGCATCTGTGATGTATATATATATATATATATATATATATATTTTTGACTCTCCTGTCGAATTCGACGTATGAGGGTCAAGCAGATCAGTTCCGAGGAAACCGACACCAACACATGACATTTGAGTATAGTGCTGAAGGTTTTGTGCAGGCTCATTCACACTTTTTGAAGGGCGGAATACAGACACTTGGTGCACAACGTGCCACAAGGTTCCCAAAAGACCTCCCACAAGTTTTGAATTCAGCGTTGTCCTTCTCCTCGACCACTCGCCATCCAACGCTATAGAACCCGGTCTGTCCTGCTATTTTACCCATAGCTGGAGGGAGAACAAGAGGATTCATACCTTTCCCAAGTGTATTAGGACATAAGCGGCTGTAATGGATTCGACTGGAATTCGAACTCGGATCTCCGATTCCTCAATCTAAGTTGCTATCCCTTACGCCACCCTGCTTCTTACACCACAAAAACCAAATCTGATGTGCTGATATCGGGCTTTCGGTCCCTAGGAACTGAATTGCTTGACCCTCATACGTCTAATTCGCTATTGTTGCTATATTCGTTGTTGAGTGTTGATTGGTTGATTCTGTAATTTACCCCTCAACACGATCTTGGAAAAGATCGAAAGTACATGGGCTAAGAAAATTCACGGCGCATTCCTTGATAAATTTCATCTCAACTAAATAAACAACTTGAAAGGATCAGTATAAAAATAAGTAGACGCAATATATTATTTAATGAAATGCACACACACACACACACACACACACACACACACACATATATATATATATATATATATTTATATAAAACAACTAAAAAGTTGCAAATTAAAAAAATAATGTTTTTTATGAAAATATTTATATATTTTATAAAAAAATATAAATACTTTCTTAAAAAATATTATTTTATATAAAAAACAATATTATTTTTTATATAAAACCTTATTATTTTATAAAAAAATATAAATAAATACGTTCATAAAAAAACATTATTATGTGTTTAATTTGCAAATTTTTAGTTGTTTTTTTCTATATATACATGTTAAGAAAAGTATACGTGGCTTCTCATTATGCTATATATATATATATATATATATATATATATATATATATATATATATATATATAAGTATTCATTTTAAAAAGAAATTTATAACATAAATATGTTATAAAATCACTACAAAAATAGCCATTTTGTTTCAACACCCTCGGTGTCTTATCAAGTGATGATGTTGAATGTAAAATAAATGGTTTTTAAAAGTTTCGAATTAATTAACAATCCTTCACAAGGGGAAAACGTTGTTACAAAAGCTAGATGGACCAATCAAAATACAAGTATAGGAAAATTCAAAAAGCTTGACAACGAAGTCATGTTATAATAGCTATTCAGATGTTTAAAATATGGGTAGTATTAAAAAAAAGAATTTATTCTAACCAATAATTACTAAATTATATGATAAAATTTAATATTAAAATTAAGAACTGCTAATTTCAAAATCAAAATTTAATCGCTATTAAGTTTACAACTATAAAATTACTGAGGAGAAAAGAAGAAATATCTATGTTATTCAATTTATTTCTTCATTGAAGTTACTTTAGCTAATTTTATATCCTGTCCTTTGACGATGTATACATTTTAATCCTAAGAGTATGTTGGTTATTTGAATTCATTCCATATACATATATATATATATATATATATATATATATATATATATCTGTGTGTGTGTGTGTGTGTGTGTGTGTGTGTGTGTGTGTGTGTGTGTGTGTGTAAAAAGGTGTATGTGAGTGGTTGGGAAACTTAAGTAGTGTGTTGAGAATTGGAACCAGCTTTTAAAAAACGACGTTTTTGGACGCTTGAATAGAGAGATAATTCTTAGTATGCATGATTGGCTCAGCAGCGTCTTCATATCCTCATTCTTTTTATTTTCTTTTTTTTATTATTATGTTGAGCACAAAATAAATTTTTAAAAATCTAGTAGGAAACTAGAAGATTGATTGATGATTTTTAAGTCTACCAAAACCTTCCCATCCGTGTACGTTGAAGCGAAACAATCTTTCGCCTACAATTCCTTGATTTGATTTAGTCGAAAAGGAATAAAACTGCCAGGTAAATACTGATTTCCAAGGCAGACATTGTCGTAACAGGATGAGAATTGCAACTATTTTCCCGCCATTCTATTTTCCCGCCTTAATAGATGGAAAGTTGGTAATATCAATTATATATTTGAAACCTATTACTTGTTCTATAATAAGAGGTGTACTTGAAAATATGTGTTTTAATCAACAAAGTTATAGAAATAACTCTTTAAATATTTAGTGTTAAATTGATACCGGCAAATTTTAAAAATGTAGTCTCAACATTAGTTTTTTTTATTTTTATTTTAGAAACTTGAAAGAAAGTTAAATAAATAAATGACTACCTAGTCTGAAATTGCATTTAAAAGTATATATAAATATATATATATATATATATATATATATATATATATATATATATATATATATAGATATGTGAAGAAATATATATTTTAAGGTGTGCTATATTTATGGGATAAAGTGCTCAATATCAGAGATAGAGCGGATGAAAATGTAAATATAAAAGTAAACATTGACGTCAACATTCAGAGGCGACAGGCAGTTTCATGTTAGAAGTGTCCTGACTTCAATGTTCACTTATATATATATATATATATATATATATATATATATATATATATATATATATATATATATACTAGCAGTATGGCCCGGCGTTGCCTGTGCTTGATTCAAAAATCGTACGACTCATACGGCAATCGCTATCACTTGACTTAAAATATTTTTGCCCTTCCTTTCCTTTAAAGGAGTGCCCTTTGTCGTGCTGATGTTGCTACATGCCTTACTTCTTGCCTATCTCCCACTGCGAATTTTTTCTAAGATCTATACTAAACATTAAATCTCTTACGAAAAAAGAACTAAACAAAATGAACACAAAACGATCAACTGACTCGTAACTGGAAAAACCGAATGAAAAAAGAATGTTAACAACAAATACTTTTTCACACCCAACCCAGTTCTTCGGAATCAGAATCAACGTTGAATTTAAGCAAGCGAATGAGCCAATTGGAGTAAAGTGCCATGCAGATTTAAATTTTTCCCACTTGTGACGAATGTAGCTATCGATTTTTTTGGCATGCTAGTTAACATTCGTATCAGTCAGTTGTTGGTTCTCACACTCGACAATAGAATCTTCCTGCCTATTCGTGGCTCTCACTATAGGCTCTCACTCTGGCCAGTAGAAAATGACCGCAAACTACATGAAAACTTCCGTAGAAGCATGAAAAAATCGATTATTTCCACTTTCAATGGGAGTTGGGAAATGCAAAGTCGGTCTTGGCCTTCCCGCCAACTTGGAGCATGTGCATGTAAATTTTGGTGCAAATCCGTCGAAAATTGCGGCTGTGCATTGGTTACACACATACACACATCCTGCCTTTTATATATATATATATATATATATATATATATATATATATATATGAATAGATAGATTGAGAGAGAGAAGAGATAGATAGATAGATAGATAGATAGATAGATAGATAGATAGATAGATAATTAGTTGATGCCAACAAATTGTTCGATGGCGACAAATACGTATTTGTTACTTTAATAACAATGTAACACAATAAATCAAATAAGATGTTATAATTTAATTAATAATACAAGTAAATTATAAAATATTATAATTTATTTAATAATACAAATAAACGCAAATCACAAGTTAATTAATAATATATCGTAACATGACAAATTCAACATAAACGATTAAAAAAAATGTAAATTTAATTTCGAAGAAAAATTTAATTTCAAAGGAAAATTTACAACCGAAAGGATTAAGACACTTACAACTAAAGACGTAAAGAAAAGCAAATTTCCAGTCCGTTCGCGCGTAAAAGATTGTTAAATTCATGAATGCGCATGTCTACAAAACGGACTGAAAAAGACGCGGAATGGAAAAAATTGGAAATATCATTTAAAAAAACACAACCCCTTGAAGAACGGACATTACCAAGAAACTTCGAAGACGGGGAAAACAGCAAAAATTGATAATTAGATAATTAACATATATATATATATATATATATATATATATATATATATATATATAATGAAATATATACTGAAAAAAAAAAAAAAAATCCTAATATGCGATTATGCTGTTTTAATGTTTAATAAAAGATTTTAATGTTTTATAAAAGATTTCTGTTATCTGTTTGGATTGGTATTGCTTTTATGTCCATCGTCTTTTTCATGTCGAATTGTATATGGTCTAATGTTAATTATGTTTTATGAATATGTCCTGAAGATGGTCTATTAGACCGAAACGTCCGACGTTGACATTAAACATTTAAACAGCATAATCGTATATTAGGATTTTTGTTTGTTTTTTCAGTATATTTTCTTCATACTGTCGGATCTATATCCATATATTTTCTTACACACACACACACACACACACACACACACACACACACATATATATATATATATATATATATATATATATATATATCGTTGTTAAAAGTTAAAATTTGATACGATTTTCCCTCTGCAAAGAGAGTAGATTGTCACTGGGTGTTGGACTGAATTTATTTCAACAAAAAATGATAAATCCGGAATATTAGTTACATTAATCATATTCGAACTATTGTGCCCAGCTTTGTTGTTGTTATTACGACGTTTCGACCGTTGTGCCTTTCGGTCTTCCTCAGGGGTATATCGATCTGGGTAACCTACACCCAATTCCGAACTGAACCCTTTATTTTATCGACGGGCGTAGACTGTTCTCGTTTCACTGCTCATGGCTAGGGATGTCTCGTCTGCTTCTTATTTTATTTTGTTTTCACTGAGTATATAGCATCAATCAAAAATATGACCTGAAGCAGCAACAGTCAAAACATGACAGCGAGCAGCAGCAGCAGCAGCAAATGTCTGACGGGACACTAGTCTAGTGTATGGTTTCTGAACATGGGCGATATCGCCCATCGGAGGGCGATTTCAACTGTTGGATAGGCGATATGAAACTGAACAGAAAATGGTAGGCGATTAGAAATTCTATGGCCAATATAAGAATTTGAGTATTAAAAATGTATTTTAACATATGCTACCGGAAAAAAAAACTATACAAAGAACCTGTATAAAAATGAAAGAGAAAGCTAAAAAGGAATAAATTCCGAGATAATATATAAATTTTACAGCAAATAAGGAATATTTTGGTATTTTCTATAGTTTTGAGAAGAGCCATTAACATTCGTATAGTTCTTCAAACGAAATAGCATTTTACTCCGATGTAAATTACATAAGGAAAGAGCAAGAAGAACAAAAACATATTTACTGGATCTTTATTAGTTGCTCGTAGTGTATAATTGTTGTAACCTAGGAAGGGTTACTGAATGAGGAATAACCAAAACTGAGGTTGGAAATGAAATGGTAATCTTTATAACATCAACAAAATACAATACTCGCCAGCGGCGTGAAGTAGGTAAACCACTGCTAGAGGTTGACTACTTATACAGCATATTAACCTCAACTTACAATAGTGCCCAAGGCATTTATGAGGATTTGGATATACCCATTAGTGTTCATAGGTACGCTATCTATCTATCTATCTATCTATCTATCTATCTCAGTCTCTTCTAATTTATTTATCTATCTGTTGTAACATAAGAAAGGTTACTGAATGATGAATAACCAAGCCGGAGGTTGGAAATGAAATAGTAATCTTTATAATATCAACACAATATAATACTCGCCAACATCGTGAATTAGGTAAACCACAGCTAGTGGTCGACTACATAAACATCACTTAAAATAGCATCCAACGTATTTATGAGGATTGGGATATACCCATTATTGTTCATAGGTACGGTATATAACCTCCCCCCTTTTTAGATTTACTCTGCGCAGAATCAATAGGTTTTCTTTTTCCGCTTAATGTCGATTGTCTTTGTATCCCTTCCTCTTTGTCTTTTTTTTGATTTTTGTCTAAGGAGTTTTCCGAGGAATAGGCACATCAAATGTGTCGAAAAGAACTTCCATAGGCTCAACATCCACTGGAATATCTTCATCTATATGCCTACTTTTTGTTTGATTCAAGTGCCTTTTGTACACCATTTTCGGTCTTTTGTCTAAATATGTGATCCTTACCGATTCTTTTGAGGATAATTCCAACTTCCCAATATCTCCTCCTCGTCGCCAAAATGTTGTAACCTTGAAAGGGTTATTGAATGAGGAATAACCAAATCGGAGGTTAGAAATGAAATAGTAATCGTTATAACATCAACGAAATACAATACTCGTCAGCGGCGCCAAGTAGGTAAACCACTGCTAGAGGTGGACTACTTAGCAGCTTATTACTTTCACTTACAATAGTGCCCAATGCATTCATGAGGATTGGGACATACCTATTAGTGTTCATAGGTTCGCTATCTATCTATCTATCTATCTATCTATCTATCTATCTATCTCATTCTGCTTCTATCTATCTATCTATCTATCTCAGTCTCTTCTCACTTATTTATCTATCTGTTGTAACCTAGGAAAGGTTACTGAATGAGGAATTACCAAAATGGAGATTTGAAATGAAATAGTAATCTTTATAACATCAACGAAATACAATACTCGCCAGCGGCGTAAAGTAGGTAAACCACTTGCTAGTGGTGGACTACTTAGACAGCATATTACGATATTTACCTGCCTCCCCACGAGGTAGAATGTGGCATAACGCCAAATTTAATGTAGAGAAATCCGAGCCCGTGGGATCGGTCAAAATTTCCCCGTAGACCCCGCATACGCATCATCGGTTATCTGTCTATCTCCCCGGACGAGACTCCTCCCTACGGTATAGCCTCGTCCGGGTTCCTCTCCGCCCGAAGGCAGAGAGTTAGATACGACAAGACCTTCCCACGCTGACAGCTCATTGCTCCCACTTACAACAGTGCCCAACGTATTTATGAGGATTGGGACAAATCCATTAATGTTCATAGGTACGCTATATAGCAATGATCTTTTTAATTTTTGCAGTTATGAACAAAACGTTTTTGTTACTACTTGGCGCCCAATCTTTTGTTTGATTCATTAAGGATTCACTGCTCTTGGCTCGGGATGTCTCATCTGCTTCTTATTTTTTAGTTTTCACTGAGTATAAAGCATCAATCAAAAATATGACCTGAAACAGCAGCAGTCAAAACATGACAGTGAGCAGCAGTAGCAGCAGCAAATGCCTGACGGGACACTAGTCTAGTGTATGGTTTCTGAACATGGGCGATATCGCCCATCGGAGGGCGATTTCAACTGTTGGATAGGCGATATGAAACTGAACAGAAAATGGTGGGCGATTAGAAATTCTATGGCTAATATAGCAATATAACTACGGCACCTAATCTTTTGTTTGATTCATTAAGGAAGGCACCGTAGTTTTTTGTTTTTTTTAAACCTAAGTATTTTTGATCTTTTCCAAGATCATCTTCAGGGGTAAATTACAATGACAAACGTATTGTAACGGCGTTAAAATCTGTATTCCATTGTGATGCTGATTTTAAAAAAAATTAACAAGAAACTGATTAGACAACTGGAAAGGAATATTAAAAAAATGAGTTTACACAATATATCTATATTATTCAATGAGACATCTTTGAATATAATTGTATATTTGGGCAGCAATCCCTCTTGTATAGAAGTTTCCTTGAAGACCACTGATAAGGTATTACGATTAATCTTGAAGGTAGTTATTATTGACCAGTCCTCCGGTGGCCTAGCGGTCAACGAACGCGTCCTACAATGGATCACTCCTCGGACCGACCCTCTTTTTGATCTATATAAAAGATCTGCCTAAAAATATACTGTATATATTTGTAAACATCTATGTCAACGGGCGCACCCATAAAACTCTTGATGGCCAAAGATTGTATAAACTACCCAATGGGGTAAAAACTGGCTGGTTACATTCAGTGCCTCGAAGACCAAGATATTTACGTTCTATCATCGCCGATTTGACCCCGAACTGCCACCAATCAAGATGAACAGAATTCGTCCCGGGGAAGTACCGTACCTTGAAAGACTTTTGGGCCTCAAACTCATACTCGACCTCAAGTGGAACACGTATATAAGAGCCGTTGCTAAGAAGACAGGTAAAATGATTGGCTCCTTGAAATGCCCCTGTAAGTACCTGACTCCTCTTACTACTTAAAAGAGCCAGATCAGGCCAAAAATGAATTGCTGTTGGCATATCTGAGCAGGATCTGCAAAAACCTCCAGCCAGAGTTCAAAAGCGTCTCCGAGCCCATGTGGCTGACGAATTATTCTCCACCTTTCAACCGCTCTGCCACAAGCGGAATGCATCTTGCTTCTCTATCGCTACTTCCATGTAAAGTGCTCGGACGAACTACATTCACAGCAACAATGAACCATGCCACTTCCAAAGTAGCAAACCACCTACATTACCCCCGTATTCCATCAGTGAGAAGTAAGTTCCACTCGGGTAGCTTCTTTCCGCGAACCATTGTTCTGATGGATTTTCCCCGATCACCATAAAGGGTTAATCCTTATCTCCCTTGGGGAATGGGTTGAGGCTGGTCGACACTAACTATCCTATACCTAGCTAATCCGATTCACGACCCATCCATTCGTTACAATTTACCCACCCATCACAAAATGTTGTCCGCCATCATTTAGTCCTCCGCATACACACAGGGAACCTACAGAGCACCCCATGACAAATAACTTTCTAAGCGTAGCTTAGATGTGGCACAAGGTCGAATGTTTGTAGCACCCACTGAGAATCGAACTATTATTCAGTTGTAGTTGAGACAAGCTTACTAACCATTACACCACGGAGAAGTGCCTCTCCCTCACTTATACACACAAATAACCTCCTAAAGTAACCCTCCTAAAGTAACCCTCTACCTGGAGTGGCTCCTGAGCCTTATAAAGAGTGACTCACACTGTAAGAAAAAAAAAGTATATGTTCTATACATCCGAGTGTTTTCGGCTATTCTATTAGGATTTTTTAAAAAATTTTAACTGAATATGTAGACATTTATATGTGTATCTATCGTGATGGGAATGCTATTCTTGTGGCATTGTTAGGGCCAGAAATAATGAAATAAAGAGAGGAATTGAATTAAACAAATATATTAACAGAAACAATAACACAGACATATACAAGAGTGTTACAGCAAGAATGTTCGGTCCGAATGTCAGAGCTGACTGCTGGAGACTTCACCTTCGAAAAGGCAGTACCTGCTCCTATTTATAACTGGGAGTATCCATGCGTGCTTGTGTAAATTACCATAACAGTTTTTATCATTTATTATTTATCAAACACGTTCAGCACGTTGTGACCCTGTTCTTAGATTATATTATTGTGGGATGGCTTTTTTCTCTTTTATTATTAATGCTTCCATTATTTTTTTTTTATTTTACATGTGTATGAGGCTATGATAATCATATTCTCTATGTGTATATATTTAAAGAATACAGAAATGTTTTCATGTCACTTAATATCTCTTGGAATCTACCATTTATTAAGCGAGAGAAAATCCAGTAAATAATAAGTATTGTAGCATAGCTACGGTCGATAATGAGTATGTCCTCATTCACATAAATAAAGTAGTAAATACTGTATTTTAGTCTCCAGTTGGGGATTCGTCTTCAGCTATACTGGTCAAACTCTCTGCCTCCGGACAGAGAGGATCGCCAGACGAAGCTATGTCGAAGGGTAGAGTCTGGTCTCGGAAAACAGCTACCCGTCCTCGTTTTATATGGAGTCTATGGGGAAATTTTGGCCGAGCCTACCGGATCGGATCACCCACATTAAATTCGGCCTTGTGCCACATCTGACCGTGTGGGGTGGTTGGTAGATATCCTGCAGTTGGATATTCGTCTCTGGCTGTGCTGGTGAAACTCTCTGCCTCCGGGCAGAGAGGATCCCAGATGAGGCTATGTCGAAGAATAGAGCCTCGTCTCGTAAAACAGCTACCCAACCCCGTTTTATATGGGATCTACGGGGAATTTTTGGACGAGCCTAAGTGCTCCACATTAACTTATGCCACATCCGACCGCGTAGGATGGGTGGTAGATATCCAGTAGTTGAAGATTCATTGTGGAATTCACTTGACTCACTTCTAGCAGTTGACTACTTATACGCGCCGCTGGCGAATCTTATATGTGTTGTTCTTGTTCTAAGTATTATCGTTCATTACCAACCTGATTTTTCTAGTCAGTAACCTTCCCTAACTTGCAACACTCAGTATGCCAGTAAAAAGAAATAGAGGAAGATTGCTAAAAGACAGCTAGAATACTGAGGAGAGTCCTGGTATAGAGGCGAAATTTGATCTCAAGTTAAAGCAATCACATATTCTTTTTTTCTTGGATTATGGGTTTATCACATTGAAGCATCGAACTTAAGCAACGTTGACTATAGTCAGTACCTAGATGGGTAACCACTTGGGAATACCAGATGCTGTAAGCTTGGATGTGCGGGTGGTGTAATGAATAATGTCACGGAATTGTTACTCGAACAGTCTAGTTTCAATTTCTGTTGGGTTGGTTATATTCTGTTGGAAGAGGTATGAGTCCACCTCCTCTCTCCTCCGAGGGGAGTGAATTAGTAAAACTTACATCACTAAATCATTATTATCCACTCCCATAAAAAAATCATAAATAACTTACAAAGGTTAAACCTTAGAAAACAAACCAATCATTTATTCTTCTTTTTCTTCTTCTCCATCTATGTGCCGTGTCCCTTCAGGACATTGGTGATCATGCCTCTCTGCTGTGGTGGATTCACTCACATCATAGCAGCAGAATTTAAAGATAAAAGCATACTTGACAGGAAATAATACGCGCAGAAATAACAGGCGAAGCATACAATTTATTTATATTTTTGTGTGTATTTTTTACATTACGGTTTTTAATAGTACATGTGATAAAAGGGAGAATTTACTCCGTAGCCATACTCCAAGCCATATCACAGTGAGAAGTTGGACACGTGTTGCTCGTAACAACGTTCGTGGTGAAGAGACTGAATTTAACGTCTTTTGGCGGGATGTATTTATTTTCGGCAGGTAATATTTTTTGCTGCATGCTGGGAGCATTTTTTTTATTTTTTATTTTTATTTGATTTATTTTATATAACGTTTTTATGTTATTGTTTTATTTTATTTTATATATAATTTTCATCATTATTATTATTTTATATTTTATTTTTACTTATTTATACTAATAATAATATGACTACACTGTCTTTGTAGTGCTTTGAATTTTTTTTTATCTCTCCTCAACACTATTCTACCATCCATTTCCGCTGTCCCTCTTACTTGCAATCAGTCCTGTGAGTATCCAATTTTCCAAGCCTTCTTTCTGTATTATGTGACTTAGACATCTCAACTCTGTGTCCTTTCTTTTTTCCATTTTTTTCTAAAACTTCGTTGTTCGGTCAATAATAATAATAATGATAATGATAATAATCTACGAAAAATTATTACAGAGCAACCTCGGTTCTTGAACGTCTCACATGTCGAACAAATCGGTTTTCGAA